TCTATCATATCCCCCCTGTCTCCTCTTCCCTCCAAGCTATAAATGTTAAGATCCTTTAACCTTTCCTGGTAAGTTTTATCCCGCAATCCATGAACCAGTTTAGTAGCCCTTCTCTGAACCCTCGCTAAGGTATCAATATCCTTCTGAAGATACGGTCTCCAGTACTGTGTACAATACTCCAAGTGAGGTCTCGCCAGTGTTCTGTACAATGGCATGAGCACTTCCCTCTTTCTACTGCTAATACCTCTCCCTATACAACCAAGCATTCTGCTAGCATTTCCTGCTACTCTATTACATTGCCTGCATACCTTTAAGTCATCTAAAATAATTACCTGTAAATCCTTTTTCTCAGATGTTGAGGTTAGGACTCTGTCAAATATTCTGTACTATGTCCTTGGATTTTTACATCCAAGATGCATTATCTTGCACTTATCCACATTAAATATCAGCTGCCACAACGCAAACCTTTTTTCTAGTTTACCTAAATCATTTGCCATTTGACTTATCCCTCCTCAAACATCAACCCTGTTACATATCTTAGTATCATCAGCAAAAAAGACATACCTTACCATCAAGACCTTATGCAATATCACTAATAAAAATATTAAAGAAAATGGGTCCAAGTACAGATCCCTGAGGTACCCCACTGGGGACAAGTCCAATCTTCGAATATATTCCATTTACTACAACCCTCTGTTGCCTGTCACTCAGCCACTGCCTTACCCATTCAACAATATTGGAATCCAAACTTAAAGATTGCAGTTTATTGATAAGCCTTCTATGTGCAACAGTGTCAAAAGCCTTACTGAAATCTAGGTAAGCAATGTCTACTGCACCATGCCGATCTATAATTTTAGTTACCCAATCAAAAAAATCAATAAGATTAGTTTGACATGATCTCCCTGAAGTAAATCCATGTTGTCTCTGATGGTTTCCATCACTATCCCCACTACTGAAGTAAGACTTACTGGCATATAGCTGCCCGACTCCTCCCTATTACCTTTCTTGTAAATGGGCACAACATTTGCTAACTTCCAATCTTCTGGGACTACTCCTGTTAACAATGATTGGTTAAATAAATCTGTTAATGGTTTTGCTAGTACACCACTAAGCTCTTTTTTAAAAAAAAAAAAAAATTTTGTCGTGCAGGTGGTTACAAGTTATCACGGACGCCACAACAGCGTATTTTAAGGTTCATATTAGTTAGGCAGTGGCATGATAAGTCGAACATTTTTATATTTTCTAGGCATATCGATTAAACATCTAAAGTGATAGAGTAAGCTTAACTAGAATACAATGAAATAAAATAAGGCAGTAGTTGCTCGTCAATGCTAGGTTTGCTATACTAGTGTAGTTACAATGCATGAGCCTGTTTTGTTTAGTAGTAGCTGATTAAAACATGGTGTACATGGTAGTTATGCTGTGAGTCTATAGGCTTGGAGGCATTAAATAGCGGTTAACGGTGCTAAGATTTGCCTTTATTATAGAGTCACATCGTTAGTCTGGTTAGACAATTTGGTAAAGTTTAAACATGTTCTGACAATGCAAGAGTATATTAAAAGTTAATACTTTTTGGTACATGCTAAAGATTTAGAGGCTCAGATATGTGTGGTTATGTGTGTGCTTAGATATATCGATTGTAGAGCAGGAAAGGCATACCTAGATAGTACCAGGCAGGCAGGCAGGCTTGTACCACTAAGCTCTTTTAATAGCTTTGGGTGTATTCCATCAGGTCCCATTGACTTATTTGTCTTTACTTTTGACAGTTGAAATAGAACCTTTTCCTCTGTAAACTCACGTGTAATAAATTACTCATTTATCCTTTTTCTTAACTGAGGTCCCTTTCCTTCATTTTCATCTGTAAATACAGAGCAAAAATATTAATTGAGGCAGTCAGCTAGACGTTTATCCTCTTCTACATACCTTCCTTCTTTTGTTTTTAATCTAACTAATCCTTGTTTTACTTTTCTTTTCTCATTTATGTATCTAAAATGTTTTGTCCCCCTTTTTTACTGACTGTGCTATTTTCTCTTCTGTGTGTGATTTGGAAGCTCTTATAACTTGCTTAGCCTCTTTCTGCCTAATCTTATAGATCATTTTGTCTTCCTCACTCTGTTTTTTTATATATAATTCCTAAATGCTAACTTTTTGTTTTTAACTATTTTGGCCACATCTGCGGAGTACCACAGTGGATTCTTGAATTTTTTGCTTTTACTGACAAGCTTAATGCAATTTTCTGTTGCCTTCAGTAGTGCAACTTTTAAATAATCCCATTTCTCTTGGACTCCATTTAAATTGCTCCAGTCTGATAATAACTCCTCTACACATATTCTAATTTTATAAAAGTCTGTTTTTCTAAAGTCTAAAACTTTTGTTTTTGTGTGGTGTGACTTAGTCACTGTTCTTGTATTAAACCACACTGACTGATGATCACTGGATCCTAAACTGATAAATCTGATACCAAATCTCCATTTGTTAACACTAAATATAGTATGGCCTCTTTACGAGTTGGCTCCTCAACAACTTGTTTTAGAGACAATCCCAGTAGGGAGTTTAGAATATGTGTGCTCCTGGCACAAGTAGCTAATTTTGTTTTCCAATTTACATCAGGAAGATTAAAGTCACCCATGATGATAACTTCCCCCTTCATTGTCATTTTAGCTATTTCCTCAACTAGTAGATTATCTAACTCTTCAATTTGTCCTGGGGGCCTATAAATCACACCTACATGAGTTACTGTGTGATTACCAAATTCTAACGTAACCCAAACGGACTCTGTTTGTCTCACTAACTTTTATTAGGCTAGATTTTATGCTATCCTTCACATACAGGGCCACCCCTCCCCCTTTCTTGCCTTCCCTGTCTTTTCTATATAAAGAGTACCCTGGTATTGCTATGTCCCAGTCATTTTTCTCATTATACCATATCTCAGTAACAGCGACTAAATCTACACTATTAGTTGCCATTATTGCCACAAGTTCATGGATCTTATTTCCTAAACTGCGAGCATTTGTAGACATGACTCTAAGCTTATCATTTTTTAACACACTTGCTACAGCAGTGTTTCCCAACCCAGTCCTCAAGGCACACCTACCAGTCCAGGATTTAGGGATTACCCAGTTGTGTCTAAGGTGTTTTTACAAAGAAGAAAAAAAACACCTTAGACACAACTGGGTAATCCCTAAATCCTGGACTGGTAGGTGTGCCTTGAGGACTGGGTTGGGAAACACTGTGCTACAGGCACCTTCTGTCCTTGTTTTGGGGGACAATTGGATTGATGTTTTATCACCCTTTTGCCCCCCTCCTAGTTTAAATCCATTCTAGCAAAACCTCTGAACTGTTCACTGAGAACATTTGTTCCCTTTTGATAAAGATGCAAACCATCTTTTTTGTACAGCTTATTTCCATTCCAAACAGAGCTACCATGAGAAATAAAGCCAAATCCTTGCTCCCGACATCATTCACCAAGCCACAAATTAAAGTCCCTAATACGCATCCGCCTGTCGTTCTGAGTGTTATGCACAGGCAGAACTTCAGAGAATGACAGTGTGGAAGCTACTTGCCGTATATCATTTGCAAAAACACTAAAAACTTCCTTAACCTCTGAAAACTCATTGCAAACCAAGTCATTTGTCCCTAGATGGACAAGTACATCCAATTCCCCTTCCTGCTTTGCTTGCTTAACAATATTACAGATACGTCTTCTGTCTCTGTAAGCAGTAGCTGCGGGAAGACACCTCACAAGACCACCATTGTCCATCTCCACACCTCTTATGATGGAATCCCCAACAACAACTGCTTTCTATTAGGCCTCACCATAGTCTCCAAGCCGGTCTCCACAACACCACTAGCCTCAGTGCCTCTCTCCACAAAACCACTAGCCTCAGTGCCTCTCTCCACAACACCACTAGCCTCAATGCCTCTCTCCACAACACCACTAGCCTCAGTGCATCTCTCCACAACACCATTACATTCTGAAAATGCAGAAAATGAATTATGTAGAGCGACAGACTTTGCAAAATGCCTTTTATCCACAACTCTAAGTCTACCAGATCCTACAGTAATCCATCTGCCATTCCTAGTATGTCTCTGCGGCAGTGGCTTTGCAGCAGTTCCAGTCTGAGTTCCAGATAATTTACAAATCTCAGACTTCAAAAATACAACCTCCTGCTGCAAGATAGAGAACTGTCTACAGATTAGACAACAACCAAACTTCCAAAAAGTGGGGTGTGAAACAAATGCATAGCAACTATTACACTGAACTAAGTCTGCCATTCCAATGAGGAGAATAATTTAAATCAAACAAATCTTAACTTTTTATTTATCTTCCTGAATACCTCAGATTACCTCCAGGTTATCTCCAGAATATCTCCAAGATTCAGGGAAGTTTAGTGAACATTTGGCTTTATTTCCAATTTTTCTCTCTTCATCTTTTGTGGCATAGCAGTTCAGGTTGCAGTATGCAACCCATAATGGTGCCATGGTGAAGTGTCACTTTTCACTAATATTAGTGTTTTACAGAATCCAAGTGTTTAAATATTAGATTAGGTACATCTTTTGCCCCATTGTGCTGGTTGAGTTGTAGTAGTCTGGGTGACTTTAGTGGGCTTTTTAATAAGTAAAATAACTAGTAAGATAGGTAAATAAGTAAAAAAATATTTTTTTAAACTCTAGTCATTGCTTACATCAAATGAAATGTGTTACTAAGTGTTGTCAATAATTATTTTGAAAGAGATTGAATATAAGTGATATTTGTGTTATGTCTTTAGTTATTGTAATAAACCATATCATGTGATTTATGGTTGTCTATATGTTATCATATTTTTAGCACTGAATACCATTGGTCTTGAGGTGGATCTTGCCATGATTGCAGTACACCTCTTTACCTTCCTCCACCCCATTCTTTTAGTGCTGGCATAAACGTTGTGCCGTATTCACCAGTGAAATATCGATTTTACTCAAACAAATACACAGTTACCATCAAACACTGATTTTATTAACTTTATTCTAATACATACATCTACAACACTTTACATTTAAACATCAACATACAATCATAAACTTTTTTTGTCGATTCTTGCTTAAAAAGCCTTTGCATTTTAAAAAGCGTATACTGTTTTCTTTTCCATTTCCTCAAGTTTTCATTACGTTGCCATAATTATGTTATCATTCTTTTCTTGGTTTCATCAACAATCATATCACTTGACTCCTGTTAAATAACTCCTCGCTGACAACACAATTAGATTCAAGCTATAAATAAGAATATAGAAGTTCACAGTAAAATTAAATAAAAGTGCATACATAGCAGTGTAAAAATACAAAAAAGGTCTTCCTTAATGGCAGCACAACAATGCGTAATGCCCAAACAATAACCAAGAGAGGGAAAGAAACACCAAAAACTTATTTCAATTAGATACTGAAAGCACACTCTTGCCAGAATTATCAAATTGTTGGATTATAATGTCCAAATGGTAATGCCTTATGACAGTATTGGTTGAGGACCAAGTAGCTGCTGTGCATATGTGTTCCGGGCAGACTTTAGCTGCTGCAGCCCAAGAGGATGAAAGGGCTATAGTAGAATGAGCTTTGAATCCATCAGGTACCAGAACTCCTAAGACTGAATGATGGCAGAAACTATCCATCTACTGACGGCTTCCTTAGAGGCATGAAGATCTCTCCTGGCCCCACTAGAGACAACTGAGGGTGGGATGATTATAGAGAGGGATGGTAATTAGAGATAGGGAGGAATTACCCATTGTTATGCTGCCATGGATATAGCCAGGGAATATGCATATGAACTGGTGTGTATCTGTATCGATAAATAAAATATATAAATGAATACAGCATCCATTAAATACACAAACGTTAGAAAATCATCATGAATGAGAAAACATCAAGTCCAGAAACATACATATACTTGTTTTTCTGTTATGTTGTACAAGGAGCAATCAGCAAACTATCAATGTGATACGATTAATAATTCTTTTGTCACTTTTGTACATCATTTAGCACATATGCATTGTTCCTTTTAAATCTCCTTGTCTAGCTTAACTGTAAACAATATGGTGTTGCGTTCACAAGGAGCTAAAATTTGGCATTGTTTAAAATATTCAAGTAAATGGACATTTAGGAAATAATGTATTATTGATTATATTGAGAAAATATTGATTGATGGAACTAAATTTAAAAAAAAAAGTAACATGCTTCATGAAAATGCAAACAATTCCTTGGTGAGAAAAATAATAATATGTTAAAGGCAATGTTAAAAACATATGTATCCAGAGGTGTACACCTAAACAGGTGTATTTGGCACCTGCGGAGGATCCCTAAATTGGCAACCGCCCCCACCTTTCCCACAAAAAGGCAAAAGAAAAGTTCACTTATCACTTGAAGAACAAGAAATGTTGCTCACTGGGTTGGCAAAGAATGTCCCTTCAGGTCAAAATATTTACTTAATGCAGGCAAAAATGCTAATCCCTCAACACCTAATGGCTCTTCATTGGATGGGTGGATAGTGTGGCTGGCACTAGCAGGTAGGCAATAGAAGCAGATCGGCAGCAAACAGCACTTGGTGTGAATTAGCCCTGCCCTCATACCACCCCCTTCATGCTGTGGGCATGACCTACGACCTTGTAATCCTGTGCATTGGGATGGACACTATGGGCAACCTCGCCCACGTACTAATTACAATATCTATATTAATTCTTTTTTTTTATGATCCTAACATTGTAATCTGAATAAATATTACATAGATAGTTTTTCCAAGTACCCATCAGCCATTACATTGCTGGTCAATTCCAGTAAGCTTTCAGTAAATTCGCACCTGTAATATCAGTGTAATCTATTTCTATTCTACTCATGCCTCTCAACAGTCCTGTGTGTTGGGTGCTGTCCCACTGTCTTGCTTTATTTCCCTGTGGTTCTGCATCTGGGGACACAAGGGGTCCCTGGGCAGCACAGCGCGTGCACTGTGCAGCGGCACCAGGGCTATGCAGGGAGTACTTCAGCAGCACTCCCTAATGGACCTGATACCTTGGGGTAAGCCAGACTGCCTGTCAGGTGGTGGCCCCATCTCTTTTTCAGGCTGGTGGGCCCCCTTTTGGGCAAGCCCACCTATTTTCCATGCAGCCCTGCCCATTGTAGGCATCACTTGCTGACTCTGTACACACATCCTGACTTCCCAAATTCAGAAGTTGGGCAGTATGGTTTGATTTCTAGGATATTTCTATGTTTGTTGCTTGCAGTCCTTAACATTATTATTACTACATGTGTTCATATAGTATGGGATAGTTAATGTTAAATATAGCATTATTTGTCAATAATCAATCATAAACTGATTGTTTGATATAGTAAGAGATTACAGATACATTATAGACCTGAGGCTGTATCTAAAAATACATGAGCATGTTAATTATGTCATCCATTAAATGTCATGATGAAATCATGATTTATGTTCACTAAAACTGTGCAAGGAAATGTGACAGTGGAATTTGTCAAATAAATTTATCTTTATTGTTATACAACTGGAAATATACTATTGTTTATCACATATTTTCATTAGTTAATTAACCCATAAACATACTAATTACAGAATTGCAGATTTATGGTCAAAATAGCCTAACGGAACGAATAGCTGACCAACAGAGGTTTTCACTAAAGTGATGACTGTGTGGAATTCAAATAGAATTTCAAGTATAAGGCTAATATAGCCTAAATGGAAGCATAGTTGACTTGCAGAATATTTCCAGTTTCGCTATTTTAGTCTTATAATTGAAATTCACTCTGAATTCATTTTGAACTCTCACCTTAATAAATAAACCCGTTAGTAATGTTTATGAACATAAATATGTTCACTACGCAACATGTTGACAGTAAATGCATTGTAAATTGTCATGACCTTTTTGTGATATTCAATGGCATGAAAATTACTCCACTCCACAAGTTTTTTTTCAGTATTCGGTAGGAAAATCACAAACAATTCTTAGACTGCAGCAACAAATAATGTCCTTGAAAGTTTTTCTCATTTCCTGACTGCGAAATGCATATATCAAAGGATCAATAACAGAATTGCACATTATTAGAATAAGGTACATATTAAAGTGAGACATGAAACATAAACAATACAGGTTCTGTGGACAAGAGATCATCAGAATCAAGTGGAGAAAGAATGGAGCCCAGCACACGATAAAAATGCCTATCAATATAGTTAGAGTGATTGCCCCTTTCATACTTGTCCTCTGATGAACTGAGTTGTAGCCAGGTAAAGCAGCTATCTTTTTTACATGAGTACGAGCTAACAGGAACATATGGATATACAGTGATACCATCAGGAGCAGCATGGTGAAAAACATTGTAATTAGACATACTATGACATAAGGTGATTCATAATAAAGGATGAAAATAATCCCACATCCAGTGCAGAATGTCCATATACATGCAATAATGATTCCTGATCTTTTCATCGTCATGATGTTATGATAACGTAAAGCATAGAAGATAGTGATGTATCTGTCTACTGCAATGGCAAGCAGGCTGCACATGGAAGCCACCACTGAAATGCAGATCATTGAGTCAAAGACATTGTCTACATGACGTATAAAGGCATCTTCCATAATTAAAAACTTGTGTTTTATGAGATTTATTGTTATTGTCTCCCATGCATTGGACACACTAACTAACATATCAGCCACTGCTAAGCTACATACAAAAAAATACATAGGGGAGTGCAAATTCTTATTTTTGATGACAGCACAGATGACTAAGATGTTCTCAAGGAGGCTCACAATACCAAGTGTTAGAAACACCTCTGCAGCTATTACCACTTGATCGCATGGTGAAACCTTAATTTTGCTTGTTGGCTCTGTTATGTTACCCTCTAAACCACTTAGGTTAAGTTCTAGTATACGTAACTGTAGGGACGAGTTCATCACTAAAAGCATGTGAACAGTTTTTCTTCAGAATAAACCTTTCCAAGTATCTGGCTGGAATTCATGTTCACTGAAGTAGGAATTTCCTGCAAAGAACAAAATGTAAACTATTATTAAACATTAACATGAAATTAATTTACATTTGGAACCTGACATAATATACGTCCACATTATTTAACCCCTTAAGGACACATGACATGTGTGACATGTCATGATTCCCTTTTATTCCAGAAGTTTGGTCCTTAAGGGGTTAAAGCTAAGGGAAAACACCAGTTATGTTAAATATTATAGATTCATTATAGATATATTTATTTATGTACTTGTTGGTTTGTTTATGATTTGTTCAACATTTCTTATGGCTTTTGAGCTTTAATAAAGTTGGTAACAAGCAAGTAATAATATAGTCACAGGGTACATAGTCAACTTGAGCAGAATACAAACTGGAGAATTGAGTGTGTGGTGTTGTGGTGGGGAGGAGGTGAAGGGTAGGAATTAGGGGGGTAGTATTAATGTGCATATTAGCTGGACTGAGACGAATTGGTAATGAAAATTAGGTTATAGTGTGGCAAAAAAGGATTTTGGAAAGAGGTTTGTCTTTAGAGGTTTGAAGAAAGATGTGAGAGAGGAGACTATGAGTGAAAATGCACAGGAGAAGGAGCAAATGGAGTTTTTGAAAAATGGGTTGGAACATTAGCAGACAGGGGATCTAAGTGAGGGTAATATCATGCATACCAAGGTTAGTCAAGATAAAGATAAGGAAAGTATAATCAACTTTTTCAAAAGAGTCAAGAAGGAAGAAGGCTTAGAATTCTGCCCTTTCATAAGAATGTTATGGACAGACAAGTGCACTGTTTCTGTAGAATGGGCTACCAGAAGATTGGAATAGTTGATTGTGCACAATATGGTATAAAATTAGAAAATATAAGGGAGAAGGAAAAACTATATATATGATAATATATCGTTCATTCTCCCTTATTTATATATTTGTAAAGTATGTTTATTGCATAGATAATGGAGTAAGACGGTTCATTGGCATTGTCTACCTGGACACAGTTTATTAATTTACAAAAATCCCTACAGCTAAAATCACACTACTTTATGCATGCAAATTGCAATTTGTAGCTATTTACCATGAACAGCAGCATGAGAGCAGACTTGGAAGAAATATTGCCAGTTTAAATATATATGATTCTAATATCTGCCTGTACCTCATATTATGCCATTAATATACTGTATATTTTAGCGCAAAATTAGCATTTTGTAAACAAAACCAAAAAATTGTTAGCTGAAGATGTGTAACTTAAAAAATTATCATTTGGTATGCATTATGTTGGAAATTATATTAGACATAAATAGGTATATTTTGTTAATAAACTTAAAGGGACACTCCACTATCCAAATACAAAATAAATAAAATGACTGTTTAGTAGATACTACGAACCTCATGTACTTAGTACGTTCGTACGTTTGTAAGCAATCTCCCGAAATCTCGTAAGGTTGTGTAAATTATAGTTCTCAGTCATTCGCATACCTAAACATCGGCCTAAACTTGATGAGGGCTACAACAGGAATGTTTTATTATGGCCAGATGGCCCACTTTTATACACAGACCCCCAGCATGGGGTCTCCAGCAGAAACATATGTAACACACCCAGGTGTCTCTGTATCTGGGAGATAAGTGAGTCTACTCTGCTTAAACTGATTATCTCTGAGGTACAGTGAATAAAACATAAAACACCCACCCTACTGCCCAAGTATATCAATCTGGATTCATCTCCTCTCCATTTGGCCTCACTAATGGAACTAGGCAAGGGTGCCCCCTATCCCCCTCCTTTTCATCCTTGCATTAGAACCTCTAGCTCACAAAATCCGACAAGACCCTCTCATTACGGGAATACACATAGGACAATCCAACTATCGATTATCAATGTTTGCAGATGATATCTTGCTCTCCCTTAGCAAACCAGAAGTTTCTCTACCCCGCCTAATGGGTTTTCTACAGGATTATGGCTTTATATCATACTACAAGCTCAATAGCAATAAAACACAGGCCCTACCGATACATATGTCCATGACACAGGTACATACACTACATCAGGGCTTCAACTTTGATTGGAGACAAAAGCACATCACATATTTAGGAGTGAAACTAGCTCTACACACCTCAAAAATGGTATCTCTTAACTATGGACCCCTGCAACATACCTGCACCTCATACTTCCAAACGTGGAAGCACACCCACCTGTCGTGGCTGGGCAGACTCAATACTATAAAAATGGTACTACTACCCAAAATCCTTTACGTATTTAGAATGTTACCTCTCAACGTACCACCACACGTATTGAAAACCCTACAAACAACCATAACTAGATTTGTCTGGAATAAAGCAAAAGCCAGACTACCTCAATCCTTACTCCAACTCCCACAAATGATGGGTGGTCTTGGCTTTCCAAAACTAGCTACTTACTATGAAGCCTCCATCCTCGAATTCGCAATTCGCCTCCATGCCCCCAGAAACACATTTCAGTGGGTCGACATGGAACATGAAAAATTTTCTCCGCACCTCATGCTTAACATACTATGGTCCCCCAAAGTGTACAGACCACAGAAACTCCCACTATACCCCACCACTAAACTAACTGTACATATATGGGACAAATTACTGACCACCATGTCTGAGAAAGGGAAATTCTGTATATATGCCCCGTTGGGGGCACTGGAAGGAGTGTCGGAGTGGTTGTCACTAAGACCCTGGGCCACGTATGGTGTCAACCACATCAAAGACCTCTGCTCCCAAACTGAACTCATGACCTTCCCTACATTACAGGCCAACTACAAGATACCCAACTCCTTTATGTTCCAATATTTACAACTAAAGAGCATTATGCACGCCAAGGTGACGTTAAAACTTCCAATAGTTCCACCACAAGGGACCCACACATTGACTATCATTATGAGATGCCTGTCGGCACCGGCAAAACCCAAATCCCTATCCTTATGCTTTAAGACCCTCCTGGGCCATGCACCACCACATGCTTTTAACTATGTAAAACAATGGGAGAAAGAGGATATACCCGAACTCACTGATAAAGAATGGCTTCAGTCATTAAATGCTCTTAAAGGCCTCACATCTTGCTTCTCTCATATAGAGGCACACAAAAAAGAGATATACCGGTGCTACCTTACCCCGCAAAGACTACATCAAATATACCCTACAGTAGACTCCAAATGTTGGAGATGCGGCTTAGGGGAAGGAACCATGGCCCACATCTGGTGGGAATGTAGTGAGATCAAACCCTTGTGGTCACATGTACAACAACTACTGAAAAAAACACTAGGTTACACGGCTGACCTCACACCGATGGTGGCGATCCTATTGCTCTTCCCACCCACATGGAAAAAAGGAGCCAAGAAGTTGGCTTCCACTATCATACTAGCGGCTAGAAACCTCGTTGCTCTACACTGGAGGAGCATACACTGCCCAACACACAAAGAACTAATGAACAAGATATACCAATTTTATAGATATGAGGTACTTTTCTCAGATTCCCATGCAAAAACACGGCTCACGGAACAGTTGTGGGAACCATGGCTTCCAATGATACACCACCATCCACCATAATCTAACTAGCCCAACGTAGAAAGTCGGTTAGTCAGGACAAATCATCCCTAAAGAGACGACCCACACACATGGTAAGAGATGATACAATATGACCCAAACTAGGGACACACAATAAATAGGTAGAATGGTGTATATATAGCTATATGACTATTTGTAGTGGCGTAGATACCTACAGATGTATAATTGTAAACTGCTTATTGAACGTTTATGTTCTCATTATTGTATGCTCATCAATACCAACTTCACTATGTATTTTTATCAATGTCAACCATATGTATGTTACAATATGAAGAATAAGATGTCTTGGTCGAGTCGTTTCCCCCCTCCCCTTCTTTTTTTTCTGTACCCTCAATTTCCTTTTCTGAAAATAAAAATTTTCAAATTGAAAAAAAAACATAAAACACCCCAAAACATAAACAATCTTAATATGAACCCCACAAGTCTTATATCTCTGGATAGCCTGGATTTGAGCACCCAAATAGCACTCAGTTCCCATGAATACAGACGAACTGCCACTGGGATAAAGTTTTTGATGGCTGCCCAAATTTGTTCCATAAGAAAAGTAGTAGCAGTCAGTCACTTTCTGGAGTTCCTAACGAACAAGGGTTACCCTGGCTCATAGGTAGCGATTGTTTGCCTAATTTGTGCATACCTTTCCACCGCACAGCACTCTCCTGGCTTGTCAGGAACAAAAGCACGCAGCGGTACAAAGTTACCAGTGTTCGCGAGTCACAGTGTCTGTCTTGGAGTTCCAGACACTCAACGACCAAGTACCGCTGCCTGCATTCGGGAGACAAGATGGACGCCATTTTCCAGAGCAATGCGTCCTTTGGAGAGAGCACTTAAGTTTGTTGTTACTCTGAAGATAATGAGCCAGGGGTTGGTCTGTGTTCGGTAGATAGAAATATCGTACCAAAGGGAAAGTAACTTGGGTTTAGGGAAAATAAGAGAGTTTATGTGCAGTTTGTCACAGTAGATATATCCCAAATGAAAATTAGATGCATTTAATCTAAAAACAGCTTGTAAAACCTGCAGTTCTCTTGTCTGCTGACCTTGGAAACCCTCCCCTTCTCACCGCTCCCAGACTTTCGGTAGCTGTTCAATCACAGACTTCCCAATGCAGCTCAATGCAAGGCAGGTGCACTCAGCAATTGCTGCCTCGAGTTTGGCTCCACTGAGCTAAACAAACCAGGAAGTAATTGGACCTATTGTCTACTTCAAAGCCAAGGCAGTGTAACAAGATAAATTTATAAGTGTTAATTTCTATTGAAATTTGCACTTTTTGCAAAATTACACACTGTTCGCGTTTAAAGCTTTTCAGGAAGCTTAAGTGCTTTAGGTGTCTGGAGTGTTCCTTTAATTGTTTCCCGATTTGTTTTATTGCATTCTACTGGAAATCAGTTTAGATTTAATTGATTTAGATGATCTCTCACTACACATTATTAAATACAATAAAAACAATGTGTTACAATAAATTGAGCTTTTGTTATGAATTGTAAAATACAAAGTAAAAATTACTAGAATAAATTGTAATGGCACGGTCTAGAAGTTTGCTAGAAGGTCTTTCGCATTATTAGATATGTTTATTTCAGCAAACTCAAGGCTTAAAAACCTGTTAGTTATTCTTGCTGAAAGAAAGAGCATGATTCGAATAAGAAGCTAAGTTTTAAACTCTATTAGCAGAGAATCGACATAGAATATATAATAATTAAAGAGAGAGCAAATTGTCAGTTATAACTGAAAAGTCAATTGACCCCCCCTCCCAAAAAAAAAGGTTATGTGTTATCTCAACTCGACTTAATAGTACATTAAAATCTAGTTTATAGAGCTTGGAGGTTAAAATCATTACAGGACTAGTATCACAAAAACACAAATATGAAACATGGTTATCTACCTGAGGAAGATACAATCATTTAATCCTAGAAGCCAGCATTGATTATTTGATCAAATAGATGCCTGCTGCAATGTGATTGGAATGTCCACTACAAGCTTTTTGATTGCAGCTGTTTACTATTCTATAAATAACATTTGTTGGCTGAGAATTACAGTCAAATTACAGTCAAATTCATAGGCATCATTAGGGGCGGGATAAAGTGCTAAAGCTCACAGGGCTGGTAACATGATTTTTGACTACAAAAGTGAAGGTGCATTTCCCCCCCCCAAAAAAAATAATCTTTACCAGTGTGTCTCTTGAGTGATGGCCATACCACATGAAGTGATCACATGGACAGAATAGTCGTCCAAAGCAGTGCCAGCAGGGGGAGCTGCCTGAAATAAATTAAAATAAAGTTTTAAAACAGAAAAGGTCATACACTTGATCTAGTGTTCCAGTCTGGACTAGAAGTGTCCCAAGTATCTGTATATCCAGTTGTTTGGTCAGACCATCACTCCATTCACTTCTCCATTGTATCACAATCAGTCAGGCCCCAGCCTCAGAACCTGGTCAAACGCCGCTCATTAAAACGGGTGACACCATTGGATGTAACATCACATATGTTTTTAAGTGAACTAATGGGCACCTGTGAAGACCCCAGCTCCTTAGTCCAACTCTACAACAAAACCATGAGCGATACCCTAGAAAACATTGCACCAACACGCATACACACTGTCAAAACCAACAACAATGCACCGTGGTTTGATAGCACCATCAGAGAAATTAAGAGAACAGGCCGTAAACTCGAGAGAAAGTCATGCAGGACACATGATCCAGAGGATAAATCTGCTCTTACCAAACATCTAAATGAATATCAATTCCAGATAACTAAAAAAAAAAATCTTCACGCAAAATTGCACTCTCCCACAATAGACCCAGCTAACTGTTTTGCACAGTAGAAAGGCACACAAATGTGGATATAAAGAGAGTTAAAAGAACCATGCAAGTTACACCCTACTACACGTGGCACTGTATTAAATTAAGGGAGGGAGGGGGCCAATGTTTTAAATTGGGGGAGGGAGTTGGCACTGTATTAAGTTGGGCAGGGAGGGGGCCATTGTATTAATTTGAGAGAGTGAGTAGGCACTGTATTAATCTGAAGGAGGGGGCCAGTGTATTAGATTAAGGGGTAGTATATTAGATTGGGTGAAGGGTGTAGTGTGTTAGATTGAATTTTGGGGCAATGTATCTAATGTAAATTAGAGTGGTTGGAGTGGGGGCCATGTAGTCAATTAAAGTGGAGAGAGGAGGGGCAGTGTATTAAATTAAGGGGCAGTATATTAGATCGGGTGGAGGGTGCAGTGTATTTGATTGGATTCGTGGGCAGTGTATTAGAATGGGGAGGGCAGTGTATTAGATTGAGTCTGCATGGAGGCGCTGAACGCTCCTATGGGAAAGCATCACGTTTAATGATCTCAGCCAGAGTGCAGAACACACTCATAGGACTTTAAAATCAACAAGATGACGTCATTTGGTTTTTTTTCAGCTTTGCAACATCATACATTCACCATTTCAGTCCCATTACCAAGTTTTTCTTAATATGCCAAGGTAGTTGGAGTGAAACATTTATTATATGCAAATACACGTCTCCTTAACGCCTTAAGGACCAAACTACTGGAATAAAAGGGAATCATGACATGTCACACATGTCATGTGTCCTTAAGGGGTTAAAATAAACCCGCTCTTTTGTTTACTGTGAAGCCCTAAAAGCAAGAGGACATCCAGTGTCAGTTAGGCAACTTTGTTTATTCTGTACTTTTCAAAATAAACCCAAGTTTCTATGAAAACTGAAAACTTTTAGTTTTTTTGTGACCCACATCAACTTAAACCTTGTTTATTTGGCCCGTGCTAACCTTTGAGTTTGACATGCTTGGTGTAGTGGATGCAGTGTATGCAATGGATGCAGTGTGAGTGAGTATAGTGGATGCAGTGTGTGTTTGTGTTAGTTTAATGGGTTGGATATTTTGTTATTATCCAAGTACATATGTTTGTGATAAACACTTGTTTTTATAATATAGCACTTTATAATGTTCTTAAAAGCACAGTGTACCTTTATTTTGTTTTATTGTACTTAGCAATGCCAACCTCTTTGTGTCCTATTGAAATGAGGATGTAGTCTTTGGGGGGCATGCCTGGGCTTTGGTCCTGATCCTCTATCACAGATACATGGATGTACCCAAGTCATATAAATAAGGTGTAGGAATACATTAAATTTACCATGCAGTGAAGTTATAAAGATATAAATTTCCTAGATCTTAAAATTAGCAGGACCGCAATGGATGGCAGGGAAGAGCAGAGTATTACCCCCTGCTGGCCCATTCAGGGCTGGCGCTATCAAAGCACAGCTCTGCTGTGTGACTTGACCGGACAATGGGGAGACCATGGACATTTTGCTGCAACACACAGGGAGGGAGGAAAGGGTGAGAGGAGAGCTGGGGGGACCAGCTTACAGCTAAACCAGGTTCATCCGCTTGCGAAATCAGGTGGCATTGCTCTGATTTCGCAAGAGTGGACTCTAGCCCTACTAGCTGCTGCCTAGAGTTTACTCACCACTAGGATTGCCAGGGATTGAAGCAAGGTCCCCTCTCCCTGGGCAAAGTTAAGAAGGGAGGGGGGACAGCAAGTATATATTTTTTTAATTTAAAAAATACATATATTGCTTTATTCTGCCACCCTCTCAACCACAATATTTGCCAATACACAAACTGCTTCAAACATACACACACGGCACAACTAATACACATACTGCACCCCTCACATACACTACACCCCTCACACACATACTGCTTCCCTCACATGCACACACACTGCACCCTCCACACACACACGCACACTGCACCATTCGCACATAAACTGCACCCCTCACTCACACATATAATGGACCATTCACACACAAACAAACTGCACCACTCACACACAAACTGTACTCCTCACAAACACACTAGATCACTTACACAACTCTGGATTCTCTACACATACACACACTAGAACCTTATACACACGCCTGGCTCTTCACACACACACTAGATCACTTACACACAATAGATCCCCTATAGTCACACACTGCACCACCTAAACACACACTACATTTCTGACATACACACTCTGTCTTCTTTATGCACACACACTAGCAAAAACACTACATTCCCTAAATACAACTCTTTCCAACCCCTACACACAATACATCACCTAAACAGACATACACCCCAATGCACACAGTCGCTACAACCCCTATTCACACTATGCCCCCTATACACACACTCTCTCTCTCAGTTTCTACAGCACCAAGCCACACATATTACAACACAAACATAACACAGTTGAACTGAACTATTTTCACAAACCACACCACAATCAGCTCATGCTACACACACAATCCCACAAGCAGGCTCTAAACACCATGCACAATATGCCCTCCTTGACCGCTTGTCCTCTGGTATCCCACCTATGGAGACACCAGAGACAAGTCACAAGCAAAGACAGTGCAAGCATGTTAATACATTTGCTTATGCTGTGCAGAACAAATACAGGGCCACTGTAATGCAAAAATGCCCTTGCCAAATTTTTTCCCAGCTTGGCCCTGATTACCAATCTTAAATTGGAAATTACATCCTTTTTATCAAACATATGTAATTGATGTAAAGGTTATTTAAGGAGAGTCAATTAATTTAAAATTATACATGAGTAATATTTTCAAAACGTAGTTGTTTTAATGAGATAAATAACAATAAGTTAACTGCAGTATGCCGAACTTGTGCAGTCCGTTCCTTTCGAATTTGAAAATATTTATAAAATATACAATGAAAGAAATGATAAAATACATGTCAAAATATATATATGCCCAAAAAGCAAACTCTATTTGCACTACCTGAAAAAGCAGACTTCTCAAAAAGTATTAAAAGATATACTCCAAAACAACTCAAATGGCATAGAACACAGACATAAAAACCAAGACAAAGAGAAAAAGGGGAAGGGGGGAGAAAATCTAATTTTAAAAATTAAATAAACTATATATACAATATCAACTAAAAATCATAATGTCCATATCAGTATTTATTCCAAAGTGCATATAGGTTTTGATATTGTGTAGCCACATAATTTCTTGCTTGGCATACCTTCTGAACAATATTACCTCCCCTAATATCATTCCTAACCAAGTCAATCTCTCCGCACAGGCAAACAGAAGAATGGTCTCCAAGCACACAGGATGTTCAAACGAAGGGCAGATTTATTGGGTCATAAAAAAGTGACAGAGCAGCAACGTTTCATCCTGCTAAGAGGTCTTTGTCAAGTCAATCTCTCCACACAGGACATTTTTTAAATTGAATAATTGGCATTGATTACAGTGTCGTGAGATACTGTGTTTAATGGTCTCCAGTATACACTCCTTTAACCCCTTAAGGACCAAACTTCTGGAATAAAAGGGAATCATGACAGGTCACACATGTCATGTGTCCTTAACCCCTTAAGGACACATGACATGTGTGACCTGTCATAATTCCCTTTTATTCCAGAAGTTTGGTCCTTAAGGGGTTAAAGGTTTAATAGTGCGATCCACATACTGAACACCACAGGGGCATTATAGTAGGTACATTCTTAGAGATGCAGTTAGTAAAATTTTTATGCTAAAAGTGTTTCCAGTTACTAAATATAACATTTTACACTGACTGCATTTATAGAATGGATGGAAAAAAGGCAACTGCAACTTGGCCTGACTGGACTCCCATCTGTAGCTTATCTTGTTGGACTCCAACTGATGAAAACAAACTAGGAGCAATTAATTATTTTAAATTCTTTGTTTTCCTATAACCTTACAGTATCTAACGATTTGTTCTGCAGATGCACCGGTCAATATTCAATTAAAGCTTTTATAACTAATCTAAATTTTATATTATGTTACATTTTAAATGCTAAATAAAAATATGATCTCTTGTCCAAACCAACTTTTATGGAAACCTTATTCTTTCTCCAATCTGAGATTCCACATTGGTTTTTAGTGATCAAATCCTTTGGATAACCCATCTCTATAAAATTTTAGGCCAAAATTGTGTTTGATCATCCCAATCTACATTCCTTGTGCAGTTACAACTAATACTCATAAACTGTCCATTTGAAATGTTAGTCAGCCAATGATGGCAACTATTGAAATCAATGTTACTACTTTGACCGTTGGGTTTAAAAAAAATATTGTTAAAATCCTGTCTTCATGTACAAAAGGAGTAATATCTAAACAATTGATACAATTACTTTGGATCTCTGATACAAATTTGAGCCTGTAATCACTATCATTTATGTAAATCAGAAAAACAGATAAACTCCCCATTGGGCCATCCCAAATAATGTTGACATTATTAATAAATCTCGTCTGGCAGTCATGCAGCAACCACATGTGTTGATCTTCCCAATCTGCCACCAACAGGTTTGCATAACTGGGGGATGAACCTGGTGCCCATAGCATTTCCATGCAATTGTTGGTAAAAAGAATCCTGGAACAAAATATTATTGTGGGGCAAGATGAAAGAGGTACAGTCTACAATAAAATCTGCTTGGTGCTCTACCAAATGGTCATCTTCATGGAGAATGATTTCAATTTCCAATCTACCTTATACCTTTCTACGGATCTACCTTTTTGATGGTCTGTGACAGTGTTGAATGAAGATATATCCATGAACCATGGCTCGGCAATGTTCCAAAAAGCCAGTTTCTTCTGTTGTATAGAAATTTCTCAGACAAAATGGTATATGAACAATTGACCTCTGGCCTTAAGGATTTATTTATTAATAAAAAAATATATAATTTTGGGAAAGTGTAAAAAGCACTAAATGATGTTACATGTATAGAGGAGAGTTGATTACATATAAACACAAAGAATGTGAGAAGATTCCAGAAAATTGTTAAAACAGGATATCCATTATTGTCATGTCCTTACTTTAAATACAATATTTAAAGATAAAGTATGTGAAAGACCCATGATTTTATATAGAAGAGCCGTAAATTTGAAAACAAATTTGGTAAAGAGTTTAATTAGAGGGGAGAATCAAAAGGCATATAGTAAAGTGCTACGGAATCTGAGGCTATATAAATGGCAATAATAATAATAACAAAATTGTAGTTGGGAATGAAGCGGAGTTCTTCACATGTAAACAGTGCATAGCCTGTAGGGTAGCTTATTTTTTGTAAAAATAAAATAAGACACTTTGCATTCATATTACACTAATAAAGAATTTAAAATCACATATTTCTAACCTGCAATATGTCTGTTATCTATATACTTTGGTGTCATTGTGGGCTACAGTATGTTAGGATGGCCACAAGGGTACTCAAAATTAGAATGCATCTTCGCTCATTTTGCCTAAATACATCATGGAGTCCCTTCGCATCTCTACAAAAACTGGAGAGGGGTAGATACAGCCATCTAGAAGGGTCAATCCCACCCAGAAGTCACCAGTGAAAACTGTCAGGATTTTTGGAGGATCCCATACTAAAGCACCAGGAGATGAAGAGGACCTGTCAAAAGGTTCAGGTAAGTAAATCTGGATTTACATATCAGCTGACTGTAGGTACATAATTCTATTCTGATCCATAAAGGGAATATGAACATTAGGTGACTCTTTACAGGAAGTGTTTAAAAAGGCTGTGTAAGTCACATGCAGGGAGTTGTGGCTAGGGCTGCATAAACAAAGTGATTTAACTCCTAAATGGCAGAGAATTGAGCAGTGAGACTGTAAGGGCATGATCTATACACAGACACTTCATAATTAAGCTAAAGTTGCTTTGGTGACTATAGTCTACCTTTATTAAAACAATCAATAAAAATGAAATCAGAAAATACTAGGCAAATACATTTTAGCAGTAGTAATTATACTTTCCTTGAACTGGAAATATCACGAACATGGGTTTTCTAACTGATTCTTATACAGTTACTTTCATTATTTCACGATGTCATGCTTGCTTTTCACAATTTCAGAATCCTTCTTATAGCTCCTTCTCTACATTTATGAACGCATCAATATAGGCATGGGCTGCATTCAAATCTTGCCATCTACCACCCTATGCTGTTTACTGGTTTTAGTTAGTCAAGTAGTAGGTTCTGGAGTTCAGTGGTGTTTTTATTTGGTTCTGACCCAGGCAAGGTTCTTCCTTGTTATATTTCATTCATCCTGACTTGACTATATTTAGGACTGACCACACTCACTCTTCCCTCCCCCCAGTATGGTTGGGTTTCTATTCCAATATATTTGCTCATTGACAATATTCAGCAGCAACTCTGCTTGAAAAAAAAAAGTATTTGTTTTACCAGCTGAGGGAACAGCGCCTGCCCCTCTATCAGATATGTGTTCCAGATTGCAGGAAAAAACTAGACAGGCTGGGATTGTTAAAGAGTTTTTCCTTGTAGCTTTTTGTTTTTTGTTTTTGTAGTTTGCTGTATTCTTATTGCTTACATTTAACATATCAGAGTGAATTTATTTTAAGGAAGAGGCAGGATGTGACCAAACTGTCTTTCTTCATACTGGTAACAAGTATGAGTTCAAATAAACATAAATACTACAAAACATTCTCCAAGTTAATGTTTTCCAAGATACAACATTTGCCACACTCTATAGTTAAAAAATATTGCAGGAGATGATGGAGGACATTGTGTGGCTGAAACATTTGTGTACAAAAGAGGGCGTTGGTGTTTTAAAAGAACTAGAAACTGGAAAATTCAGGCAAACAATCTAAACCCAAGTGCACATAAAAACTATTTTTTATAAAATTAAATACAACAATCCTGAATATAGTCAGGTGTCCTTGAAGCAGGGTCAGAGACTCCTTATCTGCAAAGCAATAGCATAAACATAAATGTCCATCATACCTCAAGAGAAGAAAAGTAATTTGGCAAACAATCCACTGGATGCATGTTAGTTAAGTAAAAATGTTCCTTGTTATACTAAACACTATACTATGAACTAAACAATCTAAAACACTGTAGTTCAGGAATTAGTCATAAAGAATATAAAATATATGAAAAATCAATTTTAATATATATAGCACTAAATATAACACATAATTAGGTTAAAAATCTATATACAAAGTAATAAACACAAAATAAATCAGTGCAAAAAATTCTAAATAAAAATGGGTGTTCATTTAAATTTGAAATCGGTATGGTACTTCAGAATAAAGTAGATGTTTTATTTTTTAGATTTGTAAGTTCCATTTGCTGTCTCGAGGCAGGATGTCTATATCTGCCAATGCTAGCAAGCCTAGAGCTGACGAGTCATTAGCTCTACTAAACATGAGTGAGACAACTGCACTGCTACTAACCCCACCTGTCCTCCCCCTCCTCCGCCCTTCCCCTCCCCCCCAAATTTTTTTTCTTTAAATATAAGTGTGGCGCAATTATTAGCACCTCTATACATTGCAATATTTGAAGTATATTCCCATTAATATTTAAAACATTTTAAATGCACCTGGTTGACTATGAACATAAAAATTATCAAACCATGACTTCCTGTTTCACAAATACTGTGTTATTTGTTTTTAATTTTTCACAGTATGTGAGTGGTGATTTGTCTGTAGGAGTCTCTAGCAATAATCCGATTTTTTTAATTTGTGTTATCGCAACGCTACCTGTAACGGAACCGCTGGCACCCCGACCAGGTACCTTCCGCTGACGGATGCTCCTAGTGCTTTCCGAGGACTACAAGCACTCTGCCCAACACCATAACCACTGCAGACCCCATGAACCGCCGCAGCTTGGTTGGGGTCTCGCCGTCTCCACCCACTCTGGACCCAAGTAGGTTGACCTCTCCGAAATCCAGAGAGCAGGAACAGGAACAAGCTCTTAGCAGAGCTTAGTGATCATACCCTGGGGAGTGTAGTGATTATAGCAATCCCCAGAGTGTAGTTCTCCAATCCCCCAAACATGAGCCGAAAATTCAAGAAGGTACAAGATAATCTGATCTTTTAATGACACTCTGCTTTCTTGCAATTCTCCCCTGCAAGGCAGACGCCCACAGACAATTATACAATACTCAATCACACAATGGTTGCATCCCACACATCTCCTCCCCTTAGCCTGAGAGGTAACCCAATTATCCATACATTTTAAAACTCACTTTTTACCTAAAACTATACATCCAATATTTGTAAATTACATATTATTAATCAGCACACTTTAAATATAAACATAACCAAAAATCAGACAAATCCATCCAGTAGATAAAAAGTTAGCTGGGAGTCCTTTATGACAAACCGCAAGCACATTTTCATGCCCAAAACAGTTCCAGAGAATCAGGCTGTGCGGTCGGTCTATTTTCCATGTTAAAGTCAGTTCAAACAGACGAATGACAACCATTCGAATTGTCGAACTCTCGAATGAACTGTCAAATGGCGTTCGAACTGTCGAATGCATTAAAGTCTGGAGAAGGTAAAACTTCAGCTGAATTAAAGATGGCCACCGCCACGTGTTCGTTTGTCAAATGGCGGCCCTCCAGCATTCGGCAATTTACCTACAGCAGGCTTCCAGCCTGGGAAGTAAATTGCCTGCACACTTCCACTTCTGGGTGGTCCGCCTGTGTGGTACTTGGCTCAGTAAGCTCCATTTACTGAACCAAGTGGGAGAAAGCCATAGACAAAGTATTTGAAAGGTCTGGGGACATAGTCTTAAAGGGGCATTGTCACACAAAGTCTCAATATATCCCCAGACGGTTCTTAATGGGCCAGCATGGTCCAATACAAGTCCATAAACCACAATGCAGTTCTTAAAGGGCCAGCAGCACAATATAAATCCATTAGCCTAAATAGTGTTTGTAAAGTGCCATACAACCCAGGGCCATAGTCATGAGGCAGGAGGCTGGCACTCAGGCTCCTCCAACAGCCAGGGGCAAAGGGCAACTTGTCACCTAAAAATGTAGTGACAAAAGGCATTTTGTCACACTACCTTTGACTCTTTATTAACCATTGATATGAGAGCCTTGAGCAATGCAATGTAAATACGTGGTTAAGTTGTGGTAGCACTGTTAGATACATCCCTATATCGGAGATCCAGCCTGTGGTATTAGGAGGCTATATGCTTTGCAATATATCCTTTTAGCATTAGGCATAAGTTATCCTTTACAAATACATTTTCTTCTTTTTTAATTAGATAGTTGTGAGGGGTTTTTTTTGGTTTGTTATACCCTATCCCCCAAATCTCCTGAGTTTATATAGGCATGTGTATTATACCTAATCACTACTACTGTTAGTGATACATAGTTACCTCAAGTATCATTATACCAAGACAGATTAATATTTTGACTCCCACTGGGTATCTAAACTAATTAAGTATCATTTTTTGTAACAGTCTTCATTGCTATTTTTCTAAGGATCAAGTGTGGTTTATATTGCAGGGTCATTTACCTTTGTGTGATTATAAAAACATATATTCACTCCATAGACTGAGATTTATTTAAAAGACTCCATATGTATATATATTCTTTTGCTAGGTGATGCATTTATTATTTTTTTTTACTGATTATTTGAGTCCTTGAACACTACTGATTTCAATAAAGTTTTTGTCCAATTTTGAATAAACTTTCCTTATCATTTTTAGGGACTTGCTCATTTCCATTTTTCCTCTTTTAGTAGGGGTCCTTTGGAACTAGTTATTATTCTCCAAAATAGGTGATGCCATAACAAATCATCTATATTCATATATTTATGTATTATATGTATATTTATATTTGAACGAAACCAAGACCAATATGTTATATATACTCTGCCAAACAAAGTCAAACAAAATTCAGTGGCCTTTTATTGTGGCCAGCCTAAGGCACACCTGTGCAATAATCATGCTGTCAGCATTTTGATATGCCACACCTGTGAGGTGGATGGATTATCTTGGCAAAGGAGAATTGCTCACTAACATAGATTTAGACAGATTTGTGAACAATATTTGAGAGAAATAGGCCCTTTGTGTATATAGGAAAAGTCTTAGATCTTTGAGTTCAGCTCATTAAAAATGGGGGCAAAAACAAAAGTGTTGCGTTTATAATTTTGTTCAGTGTATATACTATATATATGTATATTTATTTATTTGTTTATTTTTTATTTACTACTTCTACTTGTTTCCTCTATTGGTTCCTTCTCACTTGAATGAAATCAACATTTAGTGGCCTGCCCCCTAGACATCAATTATCTTTTTCCCATCAATAATGTCTTTTTATGGTGGTATGAGTGGAACTCTATATCCCAAAGAAAACAAACCTGCTTGTCCATTGTGCTTGTCATTTGCTCAGTTATACGTCCTAATGGATCTCCAGAGATACGGAATTCCGATGAACCACTAATCGATATGTTGTTAAAGGAACACTAAAAGCAACATAACCACTGCAGTGGTGTGGTGGTTATAGCGCCAGATGTGCCCTGGAACTAAACCATAATAAGATGTCAAACCATTTTAGCATCGTTTTAAGGTCACCTGCTACTCATCAGAGAAATGTAAAAGCTGAGAGCTGAGAGCTCTGAATTGATGCTGTCAGCTAAGGAAAGCAGTCATGCATGGTCCTACTTGACTCTTTAGATGTGGCAGATGTAGCCAGTACCTCATGGTTCTGTTCCGGATCCAATTCTCTCTTATCTGCTTATTAATGGCCTCATATACTGCATCCAAGTCATGCCACCAAAGGACTTGATTAAAACCAGAATAAGCACGCTTTTCAATAAACAATGTCAATCAACAGCTGCAATGACCTGCATGGTAGTGTCATGTATATAAAGAGGAATTAATTAATGTGATAATTTTGCCACCTTCTATATCAATGGCAAAACCGATCAGAAATATGCAGTGCAGTTTTGGATACTGATTTTAAAAAGAAAGTGTAGTTCGGGATGTAAAAGTTTAAATGTAATAAAAGAATGGACAATGTTAGTTATCGATAAAGGCTAGAAATTAAGTATTTGCTTACTCTAACTAAAAGATATCTCAGAAGAGACAAAATAATATTGACTAAATTGATACATAATCAATAGAAACAATTTACTTATGGCCCATTCAATGCCAAAGTAAAAAAGTACACTGAGACTTAAACAAAAGGGTTTTCACCTACAGCAGAAGAAATGGTTCATCATAACAAAAAAATGCTTCAAACAACTTCTTCTTGGCATTTACAGATTAAATGGAAATATAGGGGTATAATATTAAATATAGATATTCTTGCTTGCCGATCCAACATGAATCAAATTTTCTACATTGGAGTGTACCTTTTTCAAAATATAATTTTTCAGAGTACTTCATGATTTTTTTAACTTATATCACAATGTTTCTAAGACTACAAAGTATAACTCAGAACCACAGCCTTTTTCATGATGGTTTTATTTCCTTTATAAATATTTAGTCTCACATGTGAGATATTCAGAAATATGATTGGTATAGGGCAACATAAAATAAAATTTAAAAAGCAGCTTAACTGTAAGAGAAATAGAAAAATATATTTAATCTGTACACTTTTTGGTCAATTTGTTTCTCTGATGCCGAATTAAAACCTGCTTGAAGCACTGCTTACCTTCATTCAATTATTTATGAATCACAAGTCCAATTTTAGTGAAATGAAATACATTTATATTTGAAAAACTATAAAATACTCAAAATAACTAGTACCTGAGTATCCACTGGAATAATGAATAGTAATGATTCTATACAAAGTGAGATATAGAGATATATATAATGAGAAAATACAATAATAGAAAAATGGGTCAGGTGAAAGTAGAAAATAACTGCCTAATGGCAAAAAAACTCCCTTTCTAATGTCTCTGAAAGTAGATACCGCAGTACACAGGTTTAGACTTTAATATATAATGCTTCATAGGTCAATATCTGTGACTGCAGGCTGGTATCAATACATCCAAAGAATATATAAGAGACATTAAGGACTTGCTTTTACCTAGTAAGTCTCAAGCTGTGGCATTATATAAGATATAATACTAGATTGCTAGCATATTGGAACATTAGAGGCTGAGTAAGCAGAAAAGTATAAATAGATACTATATGTGGGATCTATTGAAAATAATTAAATCAGTAAATTGTATCAAAAAAGTATCTATAATGTTAACTGCCATGTACTCAATTGCTAGCATATTGGGACATAAGTAACTGAATGAGCAGAAGAGTATCAATAAATACTATATATTGGATATAAAATAATCCCAAAAAATATTTTTTGTATTATTTTATATCCAATATATAGTATTTACAACACAATGACAGTTTTTTGCCATTAGGCAGTTATTTTCTACTTTCACTTGACCCATTTTTCTATTATTGTATTTTCTCATTATATATATATCTCTATATCTCACTTTGTATAGAATCATTACTATTCATTATTCCAGTGGATACTCAGATACTAGTTATTTTGAGTATCTTATAGTTTTCCTAATCAGGGGTTATGCCCCAAGACACAACTGGAGTGTCTTATAAGGTGTGACCATCTACAGGCTAAGTGGTCTAGTCTATTTTTTAGACAGCCATTGCCTGTAGACGGCTTTCTTTTTTCTTGTTACATTTATATTTGTAATGGATATATTGCATTAGATTTTATACCACTATAAAATGAGTATTTTTCTAGAAATGTCTATTTTATGTTAAATAATATTTCCAAGTCCATCATGATTTATAGATAATGTTGGCTTCTCGTATCAATAAGCAATTTATGAGATCATCAATAAATATTATAGTATATTGTTAAGCAACAACATCAAACAATCATATAAAAACTATTAATTCTTTCACCTAGCTTAGTTAAAGGAATGCTATGAACCTATAGTGTTAGAAACACTATCGCCCCCCTCTCCCCACCCCCCGTACCAATCTTGCCGCCATAAATATTGCATAATCTTACCTTTATTCCAGTCTGCTGGTGCTGGCACTGACCCTGATCTGCCTACTTGGCTGACATCATCAGAATTGATCATCTAAGCCAAGGAGGTGGACTGGGGGGCGGAGCCAAAAGCCACCCTTGCTAATCCACATAGAATAGTATTAAATTAATGCATCACTATGAGGAACGTTCAGGGTCTCCATGCAGAGGGTGAAGATAATGAATGTCCTTGCTGCACACTGTGCATAACTGCCCTAGGAAGCACCTCTAGCAGCCATCTGAGGAGTGGCCACTGTAGGTTGTCCAGGCTGTAATGTAAACACTGCCTTTTCTCTGAAAAGACATTGTTTATTTCTAAAACCCTGCAGGGACTGACTATACTCAACAGAACAACTACATTAAGTTGTTCTGGTCACTATAGTGTCCCTTTCATTATGGCGATTATTATTATGTATCACAAATTGTGTTTTCCAGAGATATGGAGTATAGAAGGTATATGCAACCTTCAACACTCCAGATGCCGTGGACTACATTTCCCTTAATGCATCAGGGGAGGGGTTATATTGCATCATACCTCCTGACATGGCATGAAGTCCTGCATGTAAGATAGACTTGTTGATAATTTTATTTCCTAGAACAATTAATGTGCTTACATTCTACGCTGTATAAAAAAAAACATGCTGTATAAACCTGAAGAGAAGGGAGCAAGAAAACCCAACAATTGATGCAGCGTCCCATTGTGTTTTAAAAATAATCAAACAAGAAAGCATACTAAAATCTGAGTTTATGTTGTTGGCACGGGTGAGGGTAGGCATCATTTTCCTTTTATATAGTTAATGAAGGAAGAGATAACGAGACACAATGTAATGAATGTCAGAAAAAAAAAGATGGAAAGGAAGGGAAAAGGAGAAGGACAAATAAAGAAGCAAACAAAATTTAGAATTTAGAAAAGGGAGCAACAGAAATAAAACAGAAAAAAGCTTTGTAAAAATAAGGTTAAAGGGATGAATACATTGAAAGTACAGATGAATGTGGAGAGTGTGAGAATGAAAGAGAATGTTAACTGAAAAAAATAGAGAAGAGGATTTCATCAAAAAGTAAAGTTAATCAAATGGAGTTAAAGTAAGTAGGAGAGGTAAGGTTAGAGGGATGACAATGAGATAAGATGTAATTATAAGGGGAAAAGTAGAGAGAAAGGGGAAATATGAGTGAGCAATGGGAAATGAGAAAAGATAGGTAGGCTAGATAAAATTGAATTAAACAAGAAAATAGAGTATCTTAAGGATAGGAAATAAGCACCATTACTGATATTGGAGAGGATCCCTAATAGTAAATGGTTTTTTTTGTTTGTTTTTTTATACAAATTTTTATATATACACAATATAGACTAAAGGAAGTGTATTATAACTGTTTTTACATTGATAACATTGCATTATTTGAACCGGTTATACATTGTATTCAGGTGTATGAATAATCCTCATATCTTGGATATTTAACCCAATATGAAATTCTGAATTCTCATCTAACATATGAAGACAAGCTAAGAAATGTAAAAACACAAGTTGTACAATAAAAAGTGACTGAATTCCCACATTAAATCTGTTTTGAATTCCTACCTATACAATAAATAAAGCAACATAAACTATGTAAAGCATAGCAAATATAAATAAATTAGGCAGCAGATTTTTGAGCAAAAAAAGAAAAACAGGTGGAATAAGAAAATGAAACATTTACATTTTAGATTTGAATAGCGATTAATATTAATATAATTATCCATGTCATATATTATGATGTTATTTTTGTCCCCATATGATATTTACTGTGTCAACTATCAAACCTATTGATTTTTTATGGCAGTAGACTTCTGTGTTCATTTGACATTCACTCAAGAAAATATGAAATAGCAGTTATAACTCATAGGGACAGGAGCATTTTATTGCAGTGAATGCAATTTCGCCAGATTATTCACTTATCTGAAGATTGTGTACAATCATTTGTGTGAGAAGATTAAATTTAGTACATAGGTTGCGTTGAATAATACAACTGCAGAAGGTTTTCTTTAATGGAAACTGTTATTTATACATTATTTATACTCACGAATACACAGATTTGAAATCTAAAATTATTCATCACGTGTTTGAGAGGCTACATTAATTACAAAACGTGTTTTTGTAAGAAGCTTTCTATTGATTCACCAATTCATTAATTTCTTGCGTTCTGCATTCTAAACTGTGCTTGGAAAGGTTAAAGAAGAAAGTGTTACAATAAGTGTTTTCCTGTCTTAATTAATCTAGCCTTTGAATGCTCACGAGACGAGAATATAGCTCTAGTTTGTTGTTAGACTATTGCTGATGCATTCCTTAAGTGACCCCTGTGTTATGACTTAACGATATTTTCAATAACAGAAGTCCAGAGGCAGATGCTAAGGTACAGAATAATTACATTTCTACTGTGGCATCATTCTGAGCTTGTCAATAAAATATGTTAGAAAATAAAAAAATACCTGTTGTACTTTAGGCATATTTACGAACTGTAATCCTAATGATGATAAATTGCAGGTCCTGTTTCATACTTAGATCTTGTCTGGTTCATTGGACATCAAAGATGTTGAGTTGCAGTGTGGGTGTCTGAGAGTCTGGAAGATGCAGGTAAAGTTTTAATCCACAGAGCATTGAACATGCATAGCTCTCACACTGTGCAGCTCTCAGATTTATACCTTCATGCTATTAAGGACAATGCCACCGTATCTAGTTAGCTTCTGACTCCTCCTTCCAATCCTATCAGCAAGCAACACCTAAAAAAAAACTAAGCAGCTTTATTGCATAGCACCACCAGATGGCTCTTGGTGTAAAACAACATATGTATTGGTGCCAGACAATATTTTTCATTTCATGTTAGCACATCATATATTTCAACATAAAAGAACATACCATAAAAATTAAATAGATCTACCTGTAACTTATAATACACCAGTCTAGCGATGTATATGAAAGGTAAAGCTTTACTAATACAAATATTTAAAATATTTTACAGTTTTAGAGGTAAGGAAGACAACATAAAAAATTGCACCTACAGCTGACTTAAAAATATAATTTGCATATATTAACTAATTCAGAACTGTCTAAAATGTATTTGTGGTATAGGAAAGGGGGTGCAGGGTAGCAGCACCTTCAGAAATGTCCTCAAATCCAAGTAAAAGTGGAGCAATATGGAATATAAGAGGACAACAAAACAGAATATAGTGTAGTATTTGGGTTACTAGTTATTAAAATAAGAGAAATTTCACTCACAAATTTCTGGAGCTATAACTTGTTTGAGACGGTTTTGCAGACAACTGCAGCCCCCTTCTTGGTCAGACTTAGGACAAGTGCAGGGGGTTTATGGAGTACTGCTCCTCGCTAGCCAGGATGGACAGGCGAGGGGAAGGCGGTGCTGTCACACCACCTAAGCCAATCTCTTACCAGTACTACTTCGCTTTTGAAACATGAGTAGATGGAATTGGTGTATTAACCAGTGTTACATTATACCAGACATACTGTAAGTGATCGCAATGGACCTGCGCGTCCTGACAAGTTTATTATGACGGTCCTGCACGACCAACGAATGGTTGCTGATTTCGACCTGTGTGTCCACGATTGTCGTATTTGATGTTCTACTTGACGATCAGTAAAAATCTTATTCATAAAACAAATTTCTGGAGCTTATGATCAGCTCCACATATGTGCGTTTGAACAGTAAAATCCCCATTTACGGATATGCTGATGGTCCTAGTCCTTTGTTGAGAGATGTTCCTAGACCAGTAAATAACTTTTAGTGATCAGAGTTTTTGGGAGTGTTTTCATTCAGCGCACTGTATTTTAGCAGTGAAAATTCACCAGTATATGAAATAGAAATAAAATAGAACATAGTGTTCTCTGAGTTAATAAAATAATAAACAGATAAAAGGAGGCATACTCACAAAAGGAGAACAAAATAAGTTTTGCTCAATCCTAAACAGGGTAGGTGTTAGTTCTTTTTGGAACTGTGTGCCCTTGTTGATTTGTTCAGGGATCCTAGTAACAGGATTGATGTACCTGTTGGCTGGCTGCTTAGTCCCTGTAGCACCCCCATAGCACAAGTAAAAGAGAGCTTAGCCTAATAGCCACAAGTGCCTTTGTAAAGGGAGTTGATCATAGTAGAGGCAGAGGGGATGATACCTACCTGGAAGGAGAGAACTGCAGCCTGCTTAGGTGAAAGAGTGCCTGCAAGACCCCAGTCAAGCTTTGGCGACTGGGGCTGAAGTGTTCCAGAGTCCCTGAAAGTGGTTATAAAGTGGACTGGGCAGAGGTACTCAGTCAGACACACACACACTTTGATTGACAGACACACACTGACACACCCACTCACTGACTGGCACACACTCTTAGATACACACACACACTGATTTGACACAATTTGACAAACACAATCACTCAGACACACACTGACAGACACAAACACACTCCCAGACACACACTGACAGATACATACACAAAGACCCAGACACACACTGACAAATACACATACTGACACACACACTCACTGAAAGACACACGCATAATCACTCAGACACACACATTCACTGATAAACACACACTCGCACACACACACACACACACACACACAGACACACCCTGACAGTCATACACACACATTCATTCACTCACAGACAAACACTGACAGACACACACACTCACTCACTCACACACAGATATACACACACACATTCACTTCACTGACTGTCAGACACACACACTATTCCCCCCAACACTCACAAATGATTGTTGTTTTTTTTTACATTTTATTTTAAATCCAGACAACCTCATTACCTTTGGGAGAGTTGTGTGGCTTTTTTACCGCAGGCAGGAAGGCAGATGGGCGGGCACACAATGTAGGAGCAGGAAGAGCTCACAGATCAGTGCTCCCTTGCACCCACCTGGAAAACAACTGGATGCCCACCACGGGCCTGCCAGCTCTTAGGCCCCCATAAAACTAGGCTAATAAGTCATTTGTCTGGGCATGTTAGAGCTGCGATTATTGCCGCCCCCTGGAAAATGCCACACAAGGCAAATGCCATGTTAGCCTTGCAGTAAATACATTGCTGACTAGGGGTGACATCGGTGAAATAGATTTAGGACAGAAAGGTTAGGCGCCAGTCAGGAAAAATAGGCAGTAAGTATTATACAATTACCCTATATCTACTTGTGTGTCATCCTGCAAAGCAGGCTGCAGCAGGTCTGCTCAATGAGAGGTTAGTAAATTTAAGCTCAGGAAGCCAGTACTGTGGAATCATACAGGAATACAGAATAATACAGGAATACCTCATATTAATGCGGCCAAGAGCTATCATATGTTATGGGAGTTGTAGTTCTACAACAGCTGGGGATCTATCTTTTTGGCAGACCTGGTGTATACTATGCCATACCAGATAATGTATATGTATAAAACAATAAGGCCAGTAGCTGAGATAACCACCTCACCTGATGCTGTTACTTTCCACACTAAGTTAAGCTTGGCAGAGCAGTGAGGAGCTCATTGCCTGAGAGTTCTCGGTTAACAGTCTCAGTCAGTGAGGTGGAGTTGCATAGCAGAGCCTTGCTCAGTGGAGATAATGAAATCTCCTTGCAGGTGTGTCCAGTTCAAAGGAAGTTGCAGCTGGTGCCCAGTCGACCCAAGGTAAGTGGTCAGAACATTTGCAAATGGTTTGACTACTAACCCTATGTCCAACATGCTTGCTAGAGTCCAGATATGGTCCATAGCTCACTCACTTTTTAAGAGGTGCCACTATATATTTGTTAGTGAGCCTCTCCTCCCTCTGTAGTACATGTAGAACCACTTTTTATTTGATTATATAAATATGTAGCACTAACAATTTGTTTGTTTAGTTTTGACACTGTTTTTAAACTGCTTTTATTACATTAAGTTTGTGTTCTGTATACTTACAATAGATTAATTGAATACACTTTAGCTTATTTAGCACTATTTAATTTGTTTCCCAAATTTGGAATTAGTGTAAGACCCATTGATATTGGGGTACTGTGAAGTAGTGGTAGGTCAGATTAATTTAACATAATAAATTCCGGCAGTTTTGGATAAGATCCTTTATGTACTTTAAGAAAGTGTGTTTTAGTCAATGACAGACCAAACATACACTCTTTATTCTACAGTGAGGGAAAAAAGTATTTGATCCCCTGCTGATTTTGAAAGTTTGCCCACTGCCTAAAATGTGATCAGTCTATAATTTAATGGTAAGTGTATTTTAACAGTGAGAGACAAAATTAATAAAAAAAATCTAGGATAACACATGTAAAAACAGTGAAATAGGTATTTGACCCCTTCGACTTAGTACTTGGTGGCAAAACCCTTGTTGGCAATCACAGAGGTCAGACGTTTCTTGTAGTTGGCCACCAGGTTTGCACACATCTCAGGAGGGATTTTGTCCCACTTCTCTTTGCAGATCCTCTCCAAGTCATTAAGGTTCAGAGGCTGACGTTTAGCAACTCAAACCTTCAACTCCCTCTACAGATTTCCTATGGGATTTAGGTCTGGAGACTGGCTAGGCCACTCCAGGACCTTAATGTGCTTCTTCTTGAACCACTCCTTCTTGCCTTGGCTGTGTGTTTTGGGTCATTGTCATGCTGGAAAACCCATCGATGACTTATTTTCAATGCCCTGGCCGAGGGAAGGAGGTTCTCACCCAAGATTTGCTAGTACATGGCGACGTCCATCGTTCCTTTTAATCCGGTGCAGTTGTCCTGTCCCCGTAGCAGACAAACGCCCCCAAAGCATAATGTTTCCACCTCCATGTTTGACGGTGGGGATGGTGTTCTTGGGGTCATTGGCAGCATTCCTCCTCCTCCACACACAGCGAGTTGAGTTGATGAGTTGATGCTAAAGAGCTCGATTTTGGTCTCATCTGACTACAACACTTTCACCCAGTTCTCCTCTGAATCATTCAGATGTTCATTGGCAAACTTCAGATGGGCCTGTACATGTGCTTTCTTGAGCAGGGGGACCTAGCGGGCGCTGCAGGATTTCACTGCGTTGTCCTTCACGGCATAGTGTGTTACCAATTATTCTCTTGGTGACTATGGTTCCAGCTGCCTTGAAATCATTAACAAGTTCCTCCTATGTAGTTCTGGGCTGATTCCTCACCGTTCTCATAATCATTGAAACTCCACAAGGTGAGATCTTGCATGGGGCACCAGACCAAGGGAGACTGACAGTTATGTTGTGTTTCTTCCATTTGTGAATAATCGCACCAACTGTTGTCACCTTCTCACCAAGCTGCTTGGTAATGGTCTCGTAGCTCATTTCAGCCTTGTGTAGGTCTACAATCTTATCCCTGACATCATTGGACAGCTCTTTGGTCTTTGCTATGGTGGAGAGTTTGGAATCTGATTGATTGATTGATTGATTGCTTTTGTGGTGAGGTGTCTTTTATACAGGTAACAAGCTGAGATTAGGAGCACTCCCTTTAAGAGAGTGCTCCTAATCTCAGCTTGTTACCTTTATTAAAGACACCTTGGAGCCAGAAATCTTGCTGATTGATAAGGGATCAAATGCTTATTTCACTCATTGACATGCAAATCAATTTATAACTTTTTTGAAATGCGTTTTTCTGAATTTGTTGTTTTTTTGTTATTCTGTCTCTTACTGTTAAAATACACCAACTATTAAAATTATAGACTGATCATTTCTTTCTCAGTGGGCAAACATTCAAAATCACCAGGGGATCAAATACTTTTTTCCCTCATTGTATATATACTATAAATT